ATGGCCCCCCCCCCCCCCAAAAAAAAATCAATTCAGTTTTATGTGAGAAACTGAGATTGAGTTGGAGTATGTGTGGTGTGATTGGCAGCTGGGGTTGAAGCTATTTATTATTCAGTATAGTTGGTTGAGCAACGAAGCAAGAGGGGGAGAGAGGGAGAAAGCGAGCAGAAGTGAGATACAGGGCATTTTGTGGTGCAGTCGCAGGGTGGAAATGGGATTTTTTGCTAATTCATAAGCGCTGTACTGAAGGTGTCAGTATGGTTACCCTACTGTTTACATAGTATCTAAACACCTTTTCACTCTAATACAATACTGTACTATTTCCCATCTACGGTTACTGCTTTTATGAAATGTTAATGTTTTGTTTTCTGGATATTTATAGGTCATTTCTAGTTTTTAAGCATATATATATGTATATGTTGTAAGATGTACATGCTCGCGTGTCCCTCCAGGTGCCTCTACACATTTCACCTACTCTGTAAATTGTAATTTGTGTCACATACTGCAGAAATGTAGCCCTGAAGACATACACGTACAGCAAAACAACAAGCGTACAAGTCACATTCTCACAGAATAATTTGATCAAGACCTCTCTGACACAGTCTTATTTGTGCAGGGCTATTATAGCAGACTGCATAACTTGTAGAAAATTATGTAGGCTCATGTTTTCAATCCTTGAAATGTCTTTATAAATCACTCTTGACTGATCAGTTGACTGCCAGCCTGATGACTAACTGACTTTGTCACTGAGTCAGTCATTCTTCAGCAGCGCACCTGTGGCGCCCCTCCCGATACTGGTGTATTGCTGTAAATACTCAGCATATAATATTAGAAGTGATCATTTGTTTTGCCTGTGAAGCTTTGAAAACTATCTTTAGCGAGAGCTGCACTGCACAGAATTGCACCATATTATACAAGACAATACTGCACAGGACAGCCGTGCACAGTGATGAGCTGACCCCTGTTGATACTTCACAGTAATCTGTGGAGCCATTGCTGCTGCAAGCTCTCACCTCTATGGCTGTTGAGTGGACTTAGGCCCTGTACAAATGAGTCATTAGCTGAATTTAATTATTTATTCTTTTAAAATATTCAGTCCTAAAATGCATACATGCCTACTGAAAAGTCACTCAGAATTAAAGCTATCTCTTTTTAATTGTGTTTATATATATAAATAACATGTTTGTGTATATTCTGCCTATTCCTTGCGTTATAAAAGCTCTTGCCTTTGATTCCAGCAAGGCCAAATTCAGCTACACGATGGCGCCAGAGTCAAACGAATCAGCCAAGCTCATTCCCACTTGGAGTCGGAGGCACTGACCCATAAATAAAACATATTCTTGCGTCCCAGCACCCCCCCTGTCATTGCAGTGCGACATTTTGCATTAGTGCTCATATGTATTTTGACATTTTGACTGTCCCCCGTTGCACTGGCTGTCTTAGTTAAAGTCTCGTTTTAATTTGCGTGATTCGAGGAGTTTCGTCTCTATGGCAGAAAGCGACCTCTCCTTTAGGGGCACTGGAGAAATAAATGTCACTGTTCACCATAAATAAGAGCTGGGCATCACTGTCGGCCGACCTCAGCCGCTCGGCCCATTGTCATTCCCTCTGGGGACACTCAGAGGCGCAATCCCAGATATCGCCATGAACGGACTCCAACCTGGCTGACATCATTGCGTCTGGTGATATAGATAGATCCGTAGTACCTCCTCCTTCCTTCTCTCATCCATTTGGAGCAGCCTGTGTGTTTAGTCAGTGGCACTTAATCACAGAGCGCATCAAGACAAGAGGCGGACCATCGGGCGTGAACGAAATAGTAACGGTGAACCGGAGAGGCAGCAGTGTGCGGGACAGCGCAGACAGAGGAACTATCCAGAGGACGTTTCCTATAGCCGTTGTCGGTTTTGTTCCACATTTTTATCTTCCACTGGATCAAGTGTTGCAGTTTTATCACCGTCCCGACCTTCCCGTCGTTAACGTCTCCATCGCGTCCGACTCGTTCGCCGCCAGCACTTCGTTGGAGATGTCCAAGAAGAGACCAGCCGAGCCGGAGTCCCGGGTGAAACAGCAAACTGCTCTGGGCAACATGCCTCGCCTTCCTTGTTTCTCACCGGAGTCTGTAGAATGAAAACGGCTTAAATAAAGTCCAAGCAGAGTGCAAAGATGTCAGTGCCTTTGCTGAAGATCGGCGTCGTGCTCAGCACCATGGCGATGATTACCAACTGGATGTCGCAGACCCTCCCCTCTCTGGTGGGGCTCAATACTACCAAGCTCACAGCGGCACAGGGAGGGTACCCGGACCGGAGCACGGGAGTAAGTGCACAAGTTTGGCATATTTCTCGCGACTGGTTTGCTTTCTACTGAATGAATGCCTAACTGATGCAACTCATTGTGTAGGCAACAACTGTGCGCTTTTGGTTTATAATTAAGAGGAGAAATCCGTCGTGCGCCTGCAGGGCTCATACAAAAGTCAAAATTGAAATAAATCAGACATCATGCATATCATCCTCTAGTGTCTGATGTTGCTCCAGCTGCCACTGGGTCTCTGCTGACAAATAGCCTGCACTAAGTGGAAAGTCTCGTGGTTATTTTTCTGGCAGTGAGATGATTAAGAAATCAGGGAAATTTCAAAGCAGTGTTATTTTTACCGTAGAAAACAACTGGATTCTTCATCCTCCCTCTCAGTCCGTGTGAATGAGACAGGCGCTCAAAGCCAAGGTGCTTCTATAGAGTCAGGATGAAGCGTTTCTTTGTTTCTCCGTCAGATTCCTGGCGGATTTGCAACTGTTTCCGTGCCGGGATCATTTTGTGAGCGCTCTGTCAAGTGGAGGTTAGTACTAAAATATAGAACAGTGGATGTTGAAGGCAATTCAATAACAGTAATAGCAGAGGATGCAGTGAACTGCTGTTTTCCTGAATGCACTATATTTTTACATAGTAGGACTTGAGATTTTATCTAATTTTTTAATCTCATAGCAGTGTAATAGTAGCCTACTGTCTGACCAGTGACCTGATACACTGAGAGAGCAAGACAGGTGCTTGATAGTGATTTTCTTTGTTGTCAGCACATTCTTTAGTAGAATACAGTGCAGCTGACTGACAGTCACTGCAATTGTGCCTCATGCATGTTGTGAAGTCAAGTCCTTCTCACTAATTGAATCAGCCAATAGGTCTTTCTAATGTGTTTCATTGCTGATGATGTGATGAACATTTTTTTTCAGTCATTCATTCACCAAAAAAACCCTTTCTGACGTTGTATATGTCACACTTAACACTCAGCGCTTTCACACACACGCCCATAATAGGAGGAGCTTCATTTTTTTTTGATCGGCTGCCTCTTTTCTTTGTGTGGCTTTCATATATATGGTGTGATGGTGCATAACGGGTGGAGCCTGGTGGTTTGTGGTATCCAGGTGGTGATAAATGCAGTGCACCAAGTGGGCACTGTACACTCTGAGGGCAAGTAGCAGTGAAATGTCCTCTTACTACAGGTCATGTCTTAGTGACCTTTAAGACGTCATAGATAAACATGAGGATTTGTTTTTGCAGCAAAGTGTCGATCTTTTCTCATTTTCTGTCTCTGTCTGAGCTGTTTTTGTTGTCCTCTCGTGCTTTACGCCCCTCTCCTCTTGCATTGCCCTTTCTCACCATTCACCATCCTTTGTCCTCAGGTTTTGCCAGCAAACCCAGAGGAATCGTGGCAGGTGTACAGTTCAGCCCAGGATAGTGAGGGAAGGTGTGTCTGCACTGTGGTGGCGCCCCAGCAGTCCATGTGCTCACGGGATGCCCGCACCAAGCAACTGAGGCAGCTGTTAGAGAAGGTAATTACCACTGAAGTCCTTAGCAGCACATGACCCCAACAATTAACATCATACAACCACCATTATGTATTTTATCTTCTTCACACGCAAAGGCAAAACCATGCATGCACATACATATAAATAGACATGTCCATGTTTGTGGATTTCACCTTTTTCCCCATTGGACCAGAACAGGAATCATGCTCTAATGAGCTCCCTCGAAACCTAACAGGAATCATGGGAGACAGCTACTGACTCTTTGAGTTGCTATTGCACTGCACACATCTGAAGCAACACATCTAATGATGCAACCCAGCTCAATTCCCATAGATGTCAAGATACGACTGCCCCATTTACACAGAAGGAGCATTTAAGCACATTTCTGAAAAATCCTTTTCACTTAAGGCTGGACATAGCTTGCAAATAATGCAGACTATCTAGCTGATTCACATAAGTTGCCAAAAAAAATACACACACCAACAGATTCCTATTAAATACATGGAGGATGAGCCAGGTTTCTGGAGTTTCTGGACCAAAACAGTTTTGGAGAAACCAAATGTCGTAACAGTATGTATTCTTGCACCATGTGTCTGAGGCCCCTGACTAGTTGGCCTGATGTCAGAGTTTGTGAATCGCTGCAAGAAGAGTGCCAAGCCAAAACAACATATTGAAAGTCTGTTTCATTTTTTCGGCATCTCATACTCATTGCTCCAGTTACAGCATGAGAAGTAAGATTGATTTAATTACTGTGTTCACATGGCACCCCAGGTCCAAAACATGACTCAGTCCATCCAAGTGCTGGACCAGCGAACCCAGAGGGACCTGCAGTATGTGGAGAAGATGGAGGTCCAGCTCCGTGGTCTGGAGACCAAGTTCAGACAGGTGGAGGAGAACCACAAGCAGAACATCGCCAAGCAATATAAGGTACAGAGCCCATTCTCAAGCCATTGATAAAGCTACCATGATATCATTGCTGCTCTGTAGCCCATTAGACTTTAATGCAGCTTTACACATTTTGTTTGTGTGGTGGTCTATATCTGCCTAAACCACCATACCTCATACCGCAAAATCCATTATGCATACATAATAAAAGAGGTTAAATGAGCTCAGCTGCAAGAATTCAGTCTTATTTCATATCTACTCATTTTATAAAGCTATGTGGTGGAATTCTAAATTAACTTGGAAAGAAAGAGATTTAATGATTGTCACAATGACCACATAATGATGAAATGTTACACACCAGGATCGCTGCACATGGGATACAAATTCTTATTAATCACTAAACCCTCCAGGGAGTTTTTCCTAGAGGTTTTACTGGCCTATAAAATGTCAAATAGTGAAAGAGCCCAAGGTGACATCATTAAATTTCTAGTTTAATCTGGCCAAATTAAATTGAGAAGCTGGAACTGGGGATGTTTTTGGCATTTTTGCTTGAAGTCAAGTCAGTTTTTATTTATTTTTTATTTTATAGCCCCACATCACAACTCACACATTTTCCTCAAGGAGGTTTACAAGCTGCACAGCATACTACGCCCTCTGTCCTTAGACCCTTGAAAAATGACTTTAAATTATGTGATTATCTATAAAAACAGTTGACAGGCGCTTTTCTGTCAGTCCACTAAACTATTAATAATGTCAGATCTACATTTCACAAAAGAAGACAATGTTCCCATTTAAACACAAGTGAAATAAAACCTTTGGCACAGTGTTTTATCAAAGAATAAGTGAACAAGATTATGAATTTTACCAAACTTTTGTTGAAAGCTTTAAGTACAATTTTAATGGCACCTAAAAGTATTGAATGTCCAATACCCAGTTTTTTCTTCTTTTTGCATTCACTCATACAAATGCATAGTTTGAGTCTGAATCAAAAGCAGCTTTAGTGTTTATATCATCTCACCTGGTCCAGTACATTTCTGTGCTCCTGTTGTCGATGCATGCCCACAAATCTCATGCCACATTCAATGCATGCGTGCAATATTTTGTAACATGTCTAAGTGTATGTACTAAGTGTGTGTCTGTGCATTTATTTGTGTGTCTGTTAGATAGGTTAGCAAGCTCTAGCTCCTGTCAACAGTTTGTCATTTTCTTGCTTGCAGGGCTAACTTTAAGACTTGTAAAGAGAGCCACAGGGAAGAAGAGGCAGGTCAATTCCAGATTCCCTTGAACTGGGCCACAGTACTGAGAGCTTTTGGGCATCAAACAGTTAATTTACCTTTAGCACCATTAAGACTAAGAAACCCCTCTCCTAAGCCAACCCACCACTGATCTCTTCCTGCATGTTACTGCTGTCAAAGATTTCCATCTAAAAGCTTTTTTCAAACATAAATACATTTATTATTACTATTATTGCTGTTATTTATTTTAATTTCCTTTGGCTTTTGTCTATGCATATTTGGTTACTCAACACATCTATACGTAAAGCTATAGACATGAAATTCGAGACACTTTGTTGTGTGTGACATGTAAAAGCATGTAACCCTTAATACAACTGTTGCATTTTAAACAATGATGACCAATAAAGAGCTTTCCCAATTGTTGTCGGTGTACCGAGGGCTTGCTTTTTAATGGCTGGTCACTGCAGGGACGGAGCCACCTGCTCTGCTCATCCAGCGGGTGGAGAATATTTTCCGGGTTTGTTTGCTCAGACACACACCTGCACAGACAACACACAGCTGTTCATACACAAGCACTCAACATGGACACAAACAGGGGATCGTCATGTCAGTGAAGAGACAGGATAGTGATAGAGTAGTCAGGTTCAGATAGGTGGTTTTTTTTCTTTTCTTTTGTTTTATGGACAGCAGGTCTCCTTTTGTCACGCATGACACTCAACCGAGCTTATTCTAATCCTTTCAGGCCATAAAGGCGAAAATGGAGGAGCTTAGACCATTGATACCAGTGTTGGAGGAGTACAAAGCCGATGCCAAATTGGTATTGCAGTTTAAGGAGGAGGTCCAGAATCTGACGTCAGTTCTAAACGAACTTCAGGAGGAGATGGGGGCCTATGACTACGAGGAGCTCCACAACAGAGTGTCAAATCTTGAGGAGAGACTTCGAGCATGCATGCAAAAATTAGGTAGGCACAGAAAGTTGTTGGCACACACTTTGCTCTAAACAAGTGCATGCACCAATACTGACATACACTTTGCTGTGACTTGCCAGAAAGAGATCCTCAGGTATATTCACATGACAGAGAACATCACAGGAACATCATGGATGCGATGCTAAATGACTCCATTGCCATTTACACTGTTTCATACTCTGCTGTTGGTGTGTTGTCAAGGTAAACCAATAATAGAGTCCATGAGAAGGCTTCGTATGTACTCGCAGAGCTGGAGTTGCATCGTGGTAGCTTCAAAATCTTCTTCTACATTCTTCCTGCAAAGAAACAAGAGCCTAGTGCTGAAACTGTTGGTGAACACCAAGTTATCAATCAGTCAAAAATCCAAACAGTTTCCAGGTTGTCAAATTTAAGTAGGTGCTACTTTTCTTTGTTCTAAGAAAACAGTCCTACAAGGCCTGTCTTTTAATTGTTCATATGTTTCGACATTTCATCTTGATGGAGAGTGCTGCATAAATCTATGGTAGTAGTGTCCTAAAAACCTGACTGAAGTACATGGGCTATTAAAACACACGATTCGATGTTAGATGAGATGTTTTTCATGGTTTCCAGGTGCACATACAAACACACACCAATGAATATTATAGAAAGGAAGAGAGCTACAGTACTGACTGGCCTGCATCCTCAGCTTGGAAGTTCTTATATTTGCTTTGAGCCCCTGCCTCAGTATCTTCACACCCCTGTCACAGCCCACAGTGCTAATACATGCACACCCACACCACAGTGACTAAGATGCATTACAAGAGCAGAGACACTTACATGCCGCACATCACGGGTATATTGTGTCCTTGTTTCAAATTATTCACTGTGTGAGATGACAGAAAGAACTTAGGAAAAGCTTTTATTTATACTGCCAACTGTTCTTTTTTGGAAAGCTGTTAAAGACAGAGTGATTGTGTTCAAATTAAATATATGGCGTACAAAGAGTAGACACTTAATCTCAGCTCCCCAGACACTTCTCCTGTCACTGTTTTCCCTCATGATTTTTTTTTGTTTTTTTTACTGGCTACCTATTACTGCCTACCACACTGGAGCAGGAGTCCATGTCTTCTATCTCAGTTCAGTGCACAAGGCAGTCCTCACATCTGTGGTCAGGCTGTCAAAGATAGGAGAGCAGGGAACTGCAGGAGTTACTCCAGCGTGGGTGTGTGAGATCTGACGAGATAAAGGTGAGGTCACCCAGCGAGGGACTGGCTCAGGCAGAACAGAGGGCGGCTGCTCCTTTCATCTCTACACGATTGCGCGAGGCTCTCGTGCATAGTGCACATGAGTATGTTCCAGTACACTCCTATTATTTAGATTAATCTTGTGTAGGTCACTAGCAGTATTTCCATAAACAGGGAAATACAGAAGAAAACAGGGAGGGCAAGAGGATATTTGAGTTCTGAATAATAGATAGAGTGACAGGAGGAATTGATAGGAGGTGGTAAGGGAAAGGAGAAAGAGTGATAAAGTGAAGGAGAGCAGGGAAAGTGAAAGAGAGTAAATAGGGTCGCACAGAGCTGTCCTTCAAGCTGTTTTGTACTGGAGAGACTAACAGCCCTGCAGCTGCTGGGACACAATGGCCATCGATCAAGAGGACATGCCAGCTTGCGAGGCAATAATCAAATAAACACATCACCCTGTGTCATGCCCCTGCAATGTGGAGGCACCGAGAGCTGCGGGCAAATCCAGGCCCTTCACACTGAAATACTAATGGATGGATGGGTCATGCCAGCATGTAAAGTCCTCTGCCACCATTGCAGGAGCAGCAGAAAATCTTAAACATTTATGACTAAACAAGCTAAAACTAGCGTTAATGAATATGGTCTTATACTTGTGTAGCGCTTTTCTATGCATTGCAGCACATTCAAAGCGCTTTCACACTATTTGGCCATTTCCACTCCCAAGCAGTCACACATTCACACACCGATGACATCACCAGGAGCCACTGGGGGTTCAGTGTCTTGTTCTAGGACACCTCGACACGTGGACCGGACAAGCCGGGAAACACTCCACTAATTTTCTGGTTAGGAGGCGACCCCCTCAAATTGGGCTGGAGTCTATCCCAGCTGACACTGGGCGAGAGGCAGGGTCCACCCTGGACAGGTCGCCAGTCTTTCACAGGGCTGTAATAAATAGGCACAAAGAGAATATCTGAAGACAGCGTTATGCACTGAGGGAAATTGTAGCAGGTGTTTTATTGTGTTTTGTGATGTTTTATAAATGACAATCGAATTGGAAATGAAACTAATTGTTAGTTGGAGCCCTACTATGAATATTTTGGCTGTGCTCACATTTGCCTTTACCTCAGAATAAAGTACCGGTAGAAGAAATCCCAGGTCTTTAGCTGCCTGATTGTTGGATCATTTATGTTTCACTATTGGATTTTCACCAGTTAAATCAGAATGATCCTTTGAAAACAAATATTCCTCCTTCTCTGGAATTGATCGTTCATTCTACATCTAAAGCCTCATATTTGGAGGTTAAAGCCGTTCGTGCTTTTGTTAAAATACACTCCAGCTCCAATAGGTTTTCCATTTGCTCTGCCTTCTGCTTAGGCAGAAGTGAATTTAGGCCAAATGGGGGTTAGACCCTCTGTGCATCTCCATCAGTAGGCTTCCCAGCAGCCTGTAATAGTAGCGTTATCTAGAGATGGAGGGATGATTAGAGGAAATAAATAAATAAATAAATGGCCAGCAGACTCTAATCCCACTGAGGGTTACGTAAGGGACTCAGCCCCCACTACAAAGAGTAGATGCTGCTCACATGACCATGTGTTTGCCTCTCAGCCACCGCTGAGGTGTGATGCCCACACAGAATCACAGTCAGGACATATGTTGTGCACAGAGACACACAAACAATTCACCACATATACAAAACCAGTTTCATTACGTACGTAGAAGAAATATGACAAGATGAGAAAATGAGAGGAAACAAATTAAATCTTCAATCTCAAATATCATTTCACAATAATTAATAGCAAGAGAGATGATAAAGAAGGAGGGATAAAGAATGTTACAGAGAAGGGTTAGTGAATGCAGGGCTCCACAGAGAAAAATGTCAATGAAAACCTCAAATGAGTCGTCACCACAGTCCCACTCTTTAAATTAGCATATCAGAACGAGTCATTACATTCATGGGATAAAATTAACCCACCAAAGTGTTTGAAAGACCTTTGCTGTGTTGAAACATTCTCTAAAAACAGGCCAAATGAATGGATGTACCGCAGAGTATTTATCTGGTAAAATCATGTCTATCATTTCTGTCTGTGTTCATTAGAAAGGGTACATTGGTCTGTCCAGCTCTCGGTCATGAGAAACACAGACCCAGTGTTAGTTTTATCAAATTCATATTAACACCTCAGTCAACACTAATTAACAGTGCAGCAGCTTACAAGCAGCACACGGGAGCCGAATACAAGGACGTTCTTCTTTTCCTATTCCCTTTTCGTCTCACTTTCGCACACAGAGTAAAACAGGCATTAGCATGTGTGAATTGAATAACAAGCACCTCCTGTACAGTGCATCATGAAAGGAGAAAGGCAAAGACATAACAACAAGCTACTCCACCAACTCCTCTACCTATGAGTTTACTGACAGTGCCTTCCACAGGGAGGCAACAACCTCCTCCCTCATCCTCCAGGCAAACTCCTGTGGATTTAAAGTAAATAAAAGTGAAACCTCTGTAATAGATTTTGAAGTCTGCAATCCAAATGGGTGTTGTCCTAGATGTTTGTATGTCATTTCTTTCCTTTCAGCATGCGGCAAACTGACAGGCATCAGTGATCCCATCACCATCAAGACGTCTGGATCCAGGTTTGGCTCCTGGATGACTGACCCTCTTGCACCTGAAGGAGATACACGGGTATGTGTTGCTGCACACACTCACACAGTAAAGACGGGAAACATCTCCTAACATATGTGCAGTTATAATGATAATATCAGTGATAATAATATAAAAATTGTCACATAAAATATTCCTCTATCCATAGCATACTAATATTTGATGCACAAATTAGCAGAGAAAACAATCCCTCCCTTGTCTTATTGTTCAAGAGACAGGCGCACAAATAGTTTGCCTTATTTTAAAGTTAATGATAACCTTCACCTAAACCCTGGGAAACATAATAACAGTCTGTGTTAATGGGTCACTGTCCTGTAATCATTTGGTTGCATTTGATTTCCCCTTGCGGAACAGGTGGCTTGTTGGCCAAATGGAAGGGTCAGCTTTCATTACTGAAACACATTAAAATGAAATGGCAGGGATAAATGTTTGTGGCTTTAATAGGAAGCAGCCTAGAGAACAAGAGATCACTTTCAATGTCACATGGGAGGAATAAAAGCTTGATAAAAGCTAGAGAAGAACCAGAAACATGGAGTAGGGTGCGTACAGTTCCAGTCTGCTTCCTGAAGGCTGCCTGTCTTAACAAGATGTGTATAAATTCGTCTGCAACAAGGGTGAAGCTTTCTGCTGACTGAGAGTATATTTAGTAAAGGAAACATTTTTGTTGAAACAAATACATTTTGAAAAGAACACATGAAAGATGTGCTGCATTATCAAAGAGCAGAAAACAAAGATTGAGTGTAATAGAGAGGAGCACACAGGCCTGCTCCACGTCTGCCTTTCATCATCTCTTGACTTCCTTTTTTTTTTGTGGTTGTGGTGGTGGGTGGGGGGGACTCGCTTCCTTGATGCAAATCTTTTTTTAAGTCAATCAGAGCAGCACATGGAAGCAGGTAGGGGAAGAACTTCAGGTGTCTCAGTCTCACTGTGAGTGAGGAAGTGTTTGAGCCTCCAGCAGCTCTGGAATGAGAGCTCTCTGCCCACCACCGCAGGGGCCAGCAGGTAGCTGGCTCGAAGCAGCTGAGACAGGCCTTTTATCTGGAGTGATGGGAATTATCCCTGCGGGGCCGGTTCATGCCACCCTGCGGCTGCCGTCCTCACTGTTTGCATTCAGAAGATGCCGAATCTCAGCTTCGTCTGCTCCTTGAGGAAGTCTCGGTGTTAATGTAATTGGGATGCTTGTTGCTGTGATTTAATTTATTCTGTGTGTGATCTGCATACCAGACTCTGGTATTCACAAAGGCACACTCAGGAATGATGGTGACAGGGGTCTCCAGTACTGCCACATTTGATTCTGATTCTCCCTCTCTCTTGTCATGATGCTTAGGTCTGGTATATGGATGGTTACCATAACAACCGCTTTGTGCGGGAGTATAAATCATTGCAGGACTTCATGACATCAGACAACTTCACGTCTCACCGGCTGCCCCACCCGTGGTCAGGAACAGGTCAGGTAGTCTACAATGGCTCCATCTACTTCAACAAATTCCAGAGCCACGTCATCATCAAATTCGACTTCCGCACCTCTTCCATCAGCAAGTCCCGGCAGCTCGACTATGCTGGCTTCAATAACATGTATCACTACGCCTGGGGTGGTCATTCCGACATTGACCTGATGGTGGACGAGGGAGGCCTGTGGGCTGTCTATGCCACCAACCAGAATGCTGGCAACATTGTCATCAGCAAGCTGAACCCCAACACGCTGCAGATCATCAAGAGCTGGACCACCAACCACCCCAAAAGGAGTGCCGGCGAGTCTTTTATGATCTGTGGTACGCTCTATGTGACCAACGGCTACTCAGGAGGCACCAAGGTCTACTACGCCTACTCCACTAACTCCTCTACCTATGAGTACATTGACATTGCCTTCCAGAATAAGTACTCACACATCTCCATGCTGGACTACAACCCACGTGACCGCGCTCTCTATGCTTGGAACAACGGCCACCAGGTCCTCTACAATGTCACACTGTTCCACGTTATCCGCTCTGAAGAACTGTAACAATGGAAAATGGATTACCTACCATCAAACAATACATATTGTCTGTGTAGAGGTCTCCCTATATACAATATATGTGAAAAAGCAAAAAACTATTGCAAGACTATTCTAGTTATAATATCCAATAACTGAGAGACTGCATCAGTGAATGCAAAGTGGATTGAATGTGCATATACATGGGGAGAAAATAAAAAAAAAAAATCAAAGGGTTTCATTCCAAAATGTATTTGTTATAGAAAAAAAAAAGATTTATCAGTTAATATCTCAAAGTCACAGATGATCCTCAAAAACAGAACTGTTTTGTAAATAAAGGTTAATATGACTTCTAATGTCGATAGTTACTCATAGTAGACTTTATTTTAATAGCTGCCATCATTTTGTTAGAGATCTTTTATTTTGGAATGAAACTCTTTGTTTCAGGAAATGATTGTAAAAGTAGACTATACTATATCAGATGTAGAAGAATAAGATCAGATGCCAAAAAAATAACATCACGCCTTTTTTTTATATAATGGAATATCAACTTAAGCTCATTCCTGTGGCTCCAGTTCTTCTGCAGAAATCCTCCCAGCTGAACTTTTTCTTTTGGTTCTGGGGGTCCTGAAACAAAGACTGTTGGTAACAAACTGTTGGATCCCCAGGTCCCATAGACATGACAGAGGAGTGGGAGGTCAGTCTAGTCAGAAGACTTAACGCGCCTCATGGGTGCAGTCTGTCATATCATTTTTATCAAGTACAGTAGCAAATCAAAAGTCTGTAGAGAAACAGCAAACAACAATAGCAACATCCACTAAAAGACCTGAAGGCACTGACTGTTGACAGCGCTGTTGTTTGAGATGATTTTCCTGTGTTAGTGACTATGTGTGAAAAAGGCTTTCTTTGCATGAGTGTTTTCTGCCACTCGGGTCTGCGCCTTTGAATGTCTTTCGCTGTATGATACCATAAAAAAAAAATGAGGGAGGGGGGTGTGAGGGGAAAACCTGTTTGAATACCTTTGGGATTTGAGGATTAGCAAAAATAGTTTCTTTTTTTCTGCTTCTCTCTATTTAGTTCTTGTTTTGTTTATTTCTATTTCTTTGCGAACATTTTTATTTTTCAAATGTTCTTGTTGGCACTGGTTACACCTCTCTGTATTTGTTTATTTGGACGGCGTGGGAGAAATTTATCTAGCTCACATCTCTCTGAAGAAAAAAGCAAATAACAGAATGTACCAAGTATTGTATTCTGGAAACCTGGTCCTCCTCTATCTTCAATTCACATCATGCGCCTGTAGTAGGGAGAAGGTTTTTAGAGGATAATCCTATCTTATGTCATGTACCCCCCACTGCTACCCACTGCTAGTGAAGGAAAATGCTGTTTAAATGTATACCCTTGTTGAGGACAAAAGCTTTCCGCTCTTTTTGTGCTTTGCTGGACGTGTTGTATGTGTGATGAGGAAGTTAATGATTCGTGTCAATAAAACAGAGAAATCTGACGCTCTGATTGTTGCCTTAAGAAGCTACAAGCTGCAGTGTGACAGCACACTGTTTATATGGAGATAACTAATACATTACCTTCCTGCCTTTTGGGTTATCCTTCATTAACAACACACAGAGCTGTCACTCTGTTCTTTTGTTGAGTTGTGGGGAAATGTTATTTATCATTTGCACATCCTGTCACATGTTCAGAGGTCTTAAAGCGAGGCTACCTATTTGTGTAATTGAGTGAAGAAAAAAGTTGAAAAGTCAAATTCCTAATCAATAAAATGCAGTTTTGCTCATTTTAAAATACTCAGGGGTTTTGCTGCTGTTACAGCCTTGTTTGCTCTCTTCCAACCAGTAGCTTAAACTGGCTGGTTTGAACTAATGTTAGTACCTTTAGCTTGGGCCACAGTGTCCACTGTCCATGTATGTTACTTAGGCTTGTTTGAAATATACATAAAACATCAGAACTCATACACTTTACAGGTTTAAGCTTCACTATTTGCCACTGTTACCTTGATATCAAATACTTTTATATTTTGGTAGTTGCTAAACATTTCTATTTTATGTGTCACTTCGTGTTAGCACCTGTATGAGCCCCGTTTGTTTTTCTCTTCTATCACTTGTCATTTCTTTTATTTGCATGGTGTGATTTCTTCTTATTAAGGCAAACCTCTCCACTTCTTGCTCACTCAACAATTTTCTCTCCTTCTTTGATCTCTACTCCATTTAACCTCCCCACACCCCCACCCATCTTCTTCTCCCTCATCCTTCAGCCAGTCTATTTTTCTTTGTTGCTCCCACTCCCTCACTGCCTTTTAGTCGTCTGATGTTTCAATCGATGAATAAATGATTGCTTCTATTTTCACTCAGAGTGCTTGGCCAACACAAGCTGCTTTGCTCCCCAGGAAGAGTTAGAAATTGGATTTGGGAGACAGACACACAGAGAAAAAAAAACGCAGCGAGAGAGAGAGAGACAGAAAGAGAAACATGTTAGGTGGAAGGTCTCGCAGTGTGTGACACGATGAGCTGTCAGTCAAAATCTGAATATATTTGCATCTTTAAGTGGTGACTGGCGCATCAAGAGACAAGCAGCACTGCCTCTAGTTCCATCTCCCCCACACCCTATCAACTCACTCGCATTCGCCCGTAAACCTGACACTTGCATTTCATTTCATCATTTTGCACATTGGTGTGCTCTGTTTATTGCTCCACCAGTGTCTTGTTTGCTTCAAATTTAAACAGGTGCACAAGGCTAATTACCTTGTGCATACTTTACCCTCTAAGTGCCACGACTACTGCAGCAGCAGTTCTGGGAGGAAAGGACAGACACAGCGAGAGGTTGGTTTGACCTTGCTGAGGATAAAACCACTTATCACTGATAAAAAGCTTTGGTGTGAATGTGTAAACAAGGGGCTTGTGAAAATGTTGCATTGCACTGCAGTGACTTTATTTTGCTGCACAAAGTTGTCATGAGGAACAGTGATTGTAAGCACACTCTCCCAGCACTATTACATGCAGCAGAGCATTAGTTCAAGGAGACTTCACTAAAGTTGTGCTCGCATTTCCTGATTAATTGGCATCAACTGCTGCATTCACCATCATTGGGTTGTTCATAAGCCGACTAGTAACAACCAATCATATTCATACAGATGTTCAACCTGCACTGATTATTCTCCTGATATGTGCATAACTAGTCTCATAGTGAGGTGAATCTTTACAGAATACATTGTTGACTTTACTAAGATCTAATGTCAATGTGTGTTTGTAAAGGTGGAATTAGTTGTATCACCTTAACCCCCTTTGTCTCAAAAAATACTGACCACTGTGAGCTTTACCTGACTGATTAACTCTGACTCAGATTAGGCTGAGTTTTTAATTAATAAAAAGTCAGACTTTGGATCAGGTGTCTGCAATGTGAATGGTCTATGCAAAGGTGCAGCTGTTGTAATGACTACAGATCACCACCTGCATTTAGATGTTGGTGCCAAGTATTTGACTCAGAAGGAAAAGGTCAGACCAAACTAGAATTGCAGAATTTCAATGATACTACTGCAGTATCAAATCTGTTCCAAGCTTTTAGGTTTCCTTACTCAAATACCAAGTGAAGCTTGATTTATTTTCTGTCATTTTTAAACACAAGTTTCAGATACACTTGTTCTGGTTTCTCACTTAGGTTCTGAAGTCTACCAAATAGGTCAAGTTTCATTTAAAGGTATAAAAACCAAACCAATTCCTAACTGTGAAGAAAATCAAAGTAGTAATAACATTTCCACAGCGTAGAACCTGCCCTGCACTCAAACAATTACTCTGAGCCCTTTCAAATTTAATGCAAGATGACACATATGGACAGTTTCTCAAGTCCACTCCTTTTCCATTTCCTTTTCCCATTGCAAACACTTCCATTCAGATTCATCTAGCAGAACAAACAGAAATAAAGCCTAGGTTTCATGTTTTCACTGTGGCTGGGAATAGTCTCTGCACTAAAACTCTTACAAGCCCATTGTGAGATGGAATAACAGCCAATGATAAATCAATAGAACCATAAAGAATTGGACTAAGAGAGAGAAACAACAGTAATAAAGACAATTCATTTTAATTGTGGTGCAATAAAAAAGGCAAAGTAAAACAACTCAAATGTTCCTTTTAATTTAATTTATTAAACTTTATTCATCCCCGTGGGGAAATTTCTTACTGATGATGGCGCTGTCAGGCCACCAGGGGCAACTAGAGGGTTGGTGTCTTGCCCAAGGATGCTTCAACATGTGGACTGGGGAGATTAGAAATCGAACCACAAACCTTCTAATTGGGAAATGACCACTCTACCTCCTGAGCCACAACTGCCCTTTTGCCCTTTTGCGATTCTCAGTGTACTGGTTGCATTCACAGTTGCATCCTTGTAGGCAAACACCAACTCTGTAACAAAATGTCTTCTTAAATTTACATTTTCTTTAATGTACTGCTCTCACAAGGGTGCATACATGCACATACACAGCTGCATATACCACATATAGACACCAACAGTTCCTTGAACTTCATGTTCTCACATACAGTGTTGACTGTGGGACCGTCTATACATGGCTGTGCGCCGTCCAGTCAGTCCGATCTGCCACAGTCCAGTCAAGTTCTACACACACCTCAAAGGAAAATGAAAGCAAACATGATCCATATGACCACATTTTAGAGAGGCACAGCAAAGAACCTGAATACTTTTGTAAAGGAGAGATTTTATTCTAATCCAATTCTCCCAGACATAGAAAAAAGTTAAGTCTGCTATGACCCTTTAAACCCCTGACTGCCTGTGGGCTCGCTGAAAACTAATGAGCTGTTCATATCTCCCTCCATTTCTATACCTCAGTTAAAAGGCTTTGGGCAGTGTGTGTGTGTGTGTATGTGTGTGTGTGTCTTTCTATCTGCTTGGGTACTCTAGTGTGTAACTAACCAAACTCTGCTCCGCCAGGCATAAACTACTCTTTCTTTCACACTTAACGGGCCACATGTTGCGGTGGCACATACAGCATTTTGCCCAGACAATACGGATGGTTTTTTGCCAAGGGTCAAGACTAATGGGTGTATGTGCTCATGTGTACTTCCACATGCATGTGTATTTGTGTATGGGTATGTATTACTAGCAAGCTGTGGTGACAAAATGCATGCCATCTGTGTACACAGGAGATTTCACACTCTTGTTCATGTTTGAATCGTGCCAGTATTCTCATCAGGGACATTGGCCAATCATCACAGGGAAGCAAAGAGCAACAAGCTCCAGCCTGTTTGGAAGCCATATTCACTACACTGATTTTCAATAATATATGGTCTCCATGCTGGGGAAATTGTAGTTTGCGTCTGTTACAGTACTTGTTAGTGTTGGATCTGATATAATGCCACTGATCAAATTTATTTCTCCAGCCTAAATGCTCTCTCTCTTTTGGATAAGCAGACGAGGTATGCCATTCAGATGAGTCTTTTGTAACAAAATCTGTGAGCACTGAGATTAGGCTCTTCAGTGACTTTACATTAGCCTTCAGTGTGATATGAGCCACTAGACCGGCCTGTGAATAGTGAGTGAGTCATGGGTTTTGATTCAGTAAAGGCGTTTCTAATCCCTGCTCCCAGATTATTTGAGGACAAGCTGTGACAGAACAATGAATTATTAAGTATCAACTGTTCACCTGGAATGAAACCAAGGGACCAAATCAAAATGATGTTGGTGACTGAAATGAACGCGCAGCAGTGATGAAGAAAAATCCCCCTTCCTCTTTTGCTTCAGAGTTTGTCACAGAGGCACACGTTTTAAACACCACCACCTGCTTCTGATAGGAGACTTCAACAGATTCCTCATGGAGAGTCTCATTACAGCAGTGCAGTTTTTATGTCTTCAATGATTTGTGACCGTCTGGACCGCGCCAAAATATGTCAATATCACAATTACTTTAATACCACAAGGAGCTGCTCACGTAGCATCTTTAGCTAATGTCAAATATCTTCAGTTTGGAATCTAATTCAATCCTGTGCCCATCCGTTTGACTCAGCCGCTGCTTTGCAGGAGTGCTGTCAGTGTTGCCTGATTACTCTATTTCACCTGACACCTCAGGATTCGACAGAAGCATCGAGAACAGCTTTACATAACCAGATCAATAATTCCAAGCAGTTTGCCCCGCTTGTATCATCGATGCATAATTCTGTGCTCTCCACCTCTCCACCTCAGTCACATGTACAGTCTCTGCCCTGCACTCTAAAGGTTACATCACATGCACAAATGTGTCAAGCTGCTCTTTCTCATCTCTTGGAGAATTATAATTGTGTTACTTGTCTCTGTGGTTGATTCCCTGTCGCATTTTATATTTTGCTGTCTCTGCCTCAGTCATCAAGAATGCAAATTGGGAGTGACAGAGCAATTGTGAATTCCATCACAGAATGATAGAGTGAAACAGCTTGACCAAGATCAATGAGAAAGAGTTGACAAAGTGTTGGTGATGGAACTCTTTGCTGTCTGTGGTTGTGTGTCTGTTTGCATTTGGGGATGCGTGCAAATGATAAATCTCTATAAATCCACCCTCCAAATGATGACCAAAATTGGTCTTTATTCTAAAATTATGGTACATGATGCACAATGATTCAACATGAAATTAGATATGGAGAGCAGTGCAGGTTACTACTTGTACCCGCTGATGCCTGAACACCAATAAGTATGGATCAGTGACTGATCTTTAACCAATATCACAGTCCAGTTCAAATCCCTCTGATCCCTGTATATACATTTTGCAAATACACATGCAGGAATTGGGATCCCCACATGCAGATACGCCTGTATTATGTTTAGAGATCCTCAGATGATACAGTTTCAAAACCCAGTCCTGCAACATCACATATTACCTAATGCAGCCCTATACAACTGCCCCCACTTCCATCTCTGCCCCAGGTGCACTGAGGCACAGAACAGAATGGAGCAGAGCTGTGTGTGGTGACAGTGACATCCATTGCATGCAATGAATAATCAATGAACACCATCTGGTGCATACAACAGGGGAGCACAGCTCCGATCATTTAGCTCTCTCTCTCTCTCACTTTCTCCATCCCACACTGTCTTTTCCACACTCTCTCACCTGTTCTCTCACCCCTCCTCTCCACTTTTCCCACACGGTACCTTTACACAGTTGCTGTCTCACTGTCTCTCTGTCTTTTTCTTCATTTACATCTCTATGCCTAGCCTCTGTGACGAGCTAGTCAGGGTAACCCTCATTCTAATTCAGCAGTACAACTCCCACACAGATACAGTAATAAGGTGACTTTTTGCCCTTTAAAGGACATCTGCTTTTATGATTTGATTTGATTTGATTTATTTCTTCTTTCAAGCATGTAAAGACAGTTGATATATCAACACACATAATTTTACACATATCCAACAAATGCTAATCCAATATCAATTTGCTTATACCTAGTACATGCTTGAATGGAGTAGGAAGAAGTCAGACTTATCCAGTCCTACCCCATGACATCATCTTACATCATTGGTTTGCAAACAGTATCTCTTCATAAATAATTCTCTTCTACACCACACAAGTAATATACTAAAAAAATGGACATGGCCAAGTCATCCCATTAGGGAGCAGAGGGCCAGAAATAAGTTACTGACACTCGCCGACTTTTCCGCCCCCTGCTGTGCATTGTGTACATGATGCAGAATAATTATGCATTTTATATAGATGTCTGGTAATTTAAGCACAAATGCTTGTAGGAATGTGAACCATAATCTGACCAATACTGAAACAATGTAGGTATTAAAGCCTGGGCTCTTTGCAATATACAGTAGGTAATAACACACATTTAAAGGACCTGATTATTAAAGATGATCGGGTGCTTCTGTAGTTGTGGTAGCCCTTTGTCTACACCCTTGGCATTGGACAAGAAATCAGAATTTCCATGTTGGCAATGGGCTATACCACTGAAGGAGTGATGGGTTTTAAAAGTCATAGGGTGAAGACCTGTACATATATAATCCTCTCCTCACCTACTATGCTGGAGGTTTCCCACAGCAAAATCAAGTTTCATCAGAATATTATCTACATCATCCATGTGCACACACTGATAGATGGATGCTGCCAATAGGTGCTGGAGGAGGTCTTACTCAAACACCAGGGGCTCCCCATTAACAATGAACTATCTGGTGCCAGCTCGTGGTTAAGATAAACATTTCCCCCCCATTATATTTAAAAAACTTCTGCTATATTTTCATCTTTCATAGGTAAATTGATATATGCTATGATTCAGGCTAAGAAATGGACTAAATCGTTCATGACATGTTTCACAGACCAGTGCTTCAGAATTGTAGTTGGTGATTTCTCAACCTGGGGCTGTTGGTTCCACCTTTCAACTGTAGTGATTGATGCTTTCACAGGGACCACTGAATATCAGTGGTTGCATGTTATTCAGCTTTGAAAACAGAATACAGAAACCTTAGTTGTACCGCCATATCCAGTAAGTGCTGGGTGGTTTTATTGAAACAGTATCTCAATCCAATCTGCCTGAAAACTGGAATGAGAGGTCCCACTGACAATCTGCTTACATTTTCTCCTTTTTTAAACATACATGATCGTACATGAATGAAATGCTGCTCATCAAAGAAAGAGCAGTTATCTTTTCCACAACTGTTCTATATAATGAATACATGGCATCAGAAGCGACTGCAGTGATGCACCACCACAGCTTATCACAATATATTGCGTATCAATATTCTTCCTGGTGATGCATTTGCAAAAAGTTTGTGGATTTTCATGGAGTGACTGACACGTGAGTCAGCTTTACTCTTCATTAGTGTCCCTTTTGCTGGTCTCCTGTCCTTCGAAGATGGGGTACTTGCTCTCCACTTCTGCCCAGGTCAACGTGCCATTGGCCAAGTCCCGAACAATCGCAGGCAAATCACTGACCTGAGGAGAGAAGAAGTGTCTCGCTTGATTGTGTGAAATGTGGTGTGTAATTAAAAATTAAATGCTCCACTGAGTAATGAATGATTCTTTGAAACAATGTCAAGTGCTTCACCCAGGACTATTAATTTTTCAGGGAACATGTTCATGAAAACAGAATTATCCTGTTTGGAGATGTAAGAGCATCACAAAATAGGCTTTTCAAAGTGTGATGGCCTTAAGGGCAACACATGCTGGCTGCTTTGTGTAGTGCCACTTCATTTGACACCTGTGGCACAAACTGAGCGCGTCATAAAGACAGGAAAAAAAATTCATGGTACATTAGTCACGACGTGCGAATTCAGGCAGAAAATCTGAGAAAACTGCTGCTGAGCTATGGCACAGAGGAATACTTTATGAACTGTATGCACGTCTATACAGAAAATAAGTGGACTGTTTCTTTTTACACCCTTCTACACAAGAGCTACTACAAAGTGACTGATTTAGACACAGGTGTATGTGAAGTAAAGAAGTTTTAAACGAAACTAAATAATAGAAAGTGTGCTGTACCTCGGCCCTGATCTGCCTCATTGAGTCTCGGTCTCGCAGAGTGGCTGTGTGAGGCTGCTTATTCACTGTGTCAAAGTCAATGGTGATGCCAAATGCTACTCCAATCTCGTCTGTCCGAGCGTAACGCCTCCCAATGGATCCGGAAGAGTCGTCCACTTTGTGAGAAACACTGTTTCTGGTCATCGCCTCAGCTGAGAGGGACAAAATGAAAAAAGTTAACCAAGAATGTAGGACATGCCATTTCTTCTCTTCAGACAAAACCAGAATATGCATGATAGTTATGTGGGCACTTACATAGCTCCTTCACAAAGGGCATGAATTCCTGGTTTTGGCTCAGGGGCAGCACAGAACATTTAAACGGAGCTACAGTGGCAGGGAAGCTAAAATACTGTATAAAAGAAAGCAAATGGTCATTTCAGATAACCAGTGAACTAAAATTGCTTTACATGCAACAGTGTTCAAAAGGAGTGGATGATGCAGGAGACTGGGGCTAAAACTTGGCGATACTGCCATGTACAGTGGGTACGGAAAGTATTCAGACCCCCTTAAATTTTTCACTCTTTGTTATATTGCAGCCATATGCTAAAATCATTTAAGTTCATTTTTTTCCTCATTAATGTACACACAGCACCCCATATTGACAGAAAAACACAGAATTTTTGACATTTTTGCAGATTTGTTAAAAAAGAAAAACTGAAATATCACATGGTCATAAGTATTCAGACCCTTTGCTGTGACACTCTTATATTTAACTTAGGTGCTGTCCATTTCTTCTGATCATCCCTGAGATGGTTCTACATCTTCATTTGAGTCCAGCTGTGTTTGATTATACTGATTGGACGTGATTAGGAAAGCCACACACCTGTTTATATAAGACCCTACAGCTCACAGTGCATGTCAGAGCAAATGAGAATCATGAGGTCAAAGGAACTGCCTGAAGAGCTCAGAGACAGAATTGTGGCAAGGCACAGATCTGGCCAAGGTTACAAAAAAATTTCTGCTGCACTTAAGGTTCCTAAGAGCACAGTGGCCTCCATAATCCTTAAATGGAAGATGTTGTGATATATGATATAATATTTGATATTTGTAGGAACTATCTCAGTAATGCATGTAAGTAAATTCAGTAGTTGTAGAAAAATATGAGTGATTTCACTTGAAAAGGAAGGCATTGTAGTCCAGGAACATCTTTGTGTAGTTCTAAAATCTCATTGGCCCATTCTCCAGGTCGCCTTCACATCATATGAGACAGCTCCCACACTGTATTAACAAATGAAATCATGTTTACAACTAAAAGTGCATTCATATAGCCTACAGCTGAAACCCATTTTCATTAGTAGGCCTCTATGAGAGGAATTTCAATATGTGGAAGTACTTCACATGTTTGTGGGAGCGTTTCACATGTGCACTGTATATGAGAAACGCTAAAGAATACCAAAGCTGAGAGTGGATTTTTTCCAAAAACGCTCAAAATGACAAAGTGGGGTGGCACTAAAGGTTCAGACCATCTTTCTGGGTGGAGTTTGCATGTTCTCCCACCGTTGGCACCGCAGGTTAGGGTAATTGGTGACTATTAATTGCACATAGGTGTGCACGCAGTGTAAATGATTGCATGAGTCAGCCCTGTGATAGACTGGCGACCTGTCCAGGGTTTTACCTTTCCTTTCACCCAGAGTAGGCTGGGACCGAGTCCAGCCCTCCAGCCACCCGGGATCAGCACTATAGATATTGGATGGCTGACAAAGCGGCAGGTGTGAGTCCTGCGCCTCCACTGAGGTTACTCCACTGTGGTGCAGTCAGCACTAGTGTTGGCGTGGTTCCTCCAGCTACCAAGCAAGCAACTGTGAAGAAACCCAAATACTGACACTAGCAAGGCTGGACGTGGACCCAGAAACCTCAGACACAACCCACAGCAGGGTCACCTGTTGTTTAAGATCAGCTGACAGGACCAGAGATCCATACAGCACTGGCCCAGCTCTGGGAGATTTCATTACCTACACCTGTTGTATCTATTTGGCCAAAGTGGATCTGGAGGCTTTTCAAAACAGAGATGAACTGTCTGGTTCGGTAAGTCAGTATTTATTTTAATGCTCATTATTGTTTGTTTATGTAATATGTTCTGCTGTGTAGGGCTACATTTTACAATGCATCTGTGGCCTGTTGCATTGATAGCACTTGCTGTTTGCTTTATTGGAAAGATGTGATGATGTACAGCCTAACTGAAGTGAATAACAGGACGTTTGTTGTGGTACGGCTTGACTTGGCAGTTTCACTCTGTGCAGTGGTAAATCTGTTACCTGTTGAAAAGGGCCAACAGGCAGACCAAGACCAGAGTTAAATCGCATTGTACTAGCTTTACATTTGACTTTATATTATCCAAAAATGTATGTTAATTGAAGGGGAGGGAGACCTGGATTTCCTTCCTGGAACTTTGACATTTCATTAAGGTTGTTTGATGCAACTGCATAGAGCCCTTTTTATTGTAGTGCTGAAATAAATTCAGATGCAGCTCCTTTTCCAGTGTTGTGAAGGAAAACTACAACTATGGATGCAACAATAAACTGCTTTTGCTCTGTAGGAAGATATGCTCATGTATGTTTAGAGTGGGGATGCCTTACACAGTGTGCGTACGCTGCAGATACACCCAGAGTTAGAAAAAGTTGACATCTTCAGAAGAAATGGTCACAATAAAATGAATTATTTATTGTGCAATGTGCACCCTTTTTAGTAATAGCAAATAAATCTGATAAAATTTTCTTCTGGCAAAAGATTTTCTTTAATGCTTCTAGCTTCAGACCAAAACATCCAATTTATAACGAAGAACAGATGTTTTTTAACATCACGCCTCTCTTTCAAAATAAAATTGCTATTCTCTATATATCCCATTAAATGATCCATATCTGCATTATGTTCTACCACAAATCCCATTTCTCCAGTAAATACATCAGATAATGAGAGCACAATGCTATCAGAATGCCATTTTGTGCTCTGGGTGTGTCCCATTATCCAGGAAATGTTTCTTCCTCTTCTTCACTGCCTCCTTTTTCTTGCTTCCTGAAATCAAACAACAGATTTGTTTTCACCCTAGCCCGATAAACAAAGCTGCCAAATGGATTTTAAAGGTTCTAAACAATAAGAGGAGTCTGTGCTAAGTATTATTTTACCATTAGTATAAGGTAAATATTTTAGCTTTTAAAATCAAGGATGTATCATTAATTGAACACATAACATAAAATATAATCTTTGTTGTAGCTCAGTAAAACTAGGGGGTATTGAACATTTAGTGTAAATTATAGTTTTACGATTACAGTAGATAATAGGTCTTGAAATTTGGCCCACGTCATCTGTCAGTGATGTGGAGTCGGGTGATGTGGGGAAGGAAGAACTTTTTCAGTTTTTCTTCACTGATTATGCAAATTGAGGAAAACTGAGTGGAGTCTGAGATGGACAGCAGCGCTAACACATCATTAGACTGAAAACAGGAGAGCCCAGTGATCATAAACTCTGTGATGACTAAGTCACCTTATTGTGACAACCCAAATAAAAGTTAAAAGCTTTTGCCTCTTTTCTTCTATGATGGTTTGGCTTGACTCTGGTTCACTGACACAAATGCACTTTGTTTCTGCAATCGACAGCATCATGAAAGCTGATCAGAATGATGGATTATATTGTTTTATGTATACTGTACAGTCACATGTTCAAAACAACTCTGAATTTGAGCATTTTCTCAGTAAACATGAACAGTATAGTTGCACTAAATATTATGTCAATGCAAAGGTTAGCTACTCGTTGTGGTTCAGTTTGGGCTGCGTGAAGTGTAAAATGCCTGTTTTGTGGGAAATGGGTTGTTACAATGTGCACATTAAAAAATTGATGATAGCTGGCTATATTAGCTGGGTAAACAGTGCAGATGGACCAGTGAGCAGACGTTCAGTTTGGAATCAAAATCAAATAGAACTGAGATCATTATCCAGCCCAATTTAAACTCTGAAGAAGGCACCCTAGTGCCAGAACCTCAGGCGATGGAATAAAGTGTGCCATCAACATGCTCCTGCCTCTTTGCAGGTATTTTTGCTTGTTTGCTGCTTACAGTATATTACCTGTTTTTGACGTTGAATAGATTCTACTGTTTACATTATTTTGGCCTTACATAATACCCTTTTTCGTTCATTTTGACCAATAAATTTCATATTTCACTGTATGCCTTACAACAAACGGGCAGGCTCATAGCAGCATTTCAGAATGTGATACACATGACAATGCTGTCCCTTTTGTTTTTTGGAAAGAGGCTTCTGAGTGCTGGTCTTTTGCTGAGTGCCAGTTACTGTCACAGAGAGACAAGGCTTTGCTTCTAATTCATTTCCTGAACGATCCAGTTTAACAGTCACTTCCTATTTGTCCAGTGGCTTTCTCTTTCATGCCAGTCACATGATAGAACACTATCAACATGTTCAGTTGCTTGGTGTGAATTATCCATACAATATATTCTACACATAAACACAAATGGACACTGCTTGGTGTGAATTATCCATACAATATATTTTATTCACACATAGACACAAATGGACACTACAGTACTAGGAACTTTGTACAAGGGAGCTGGCAGGGAAGAGTCTGTTTAATGTCCAGGTCAACTTACTCAGACATATGCAATCTCACATACAGCTCCTCTGGGTAATTCTAGATAAATCCAGGGTTGCTGTGCATGTCTGAAAAGGGCTTATCTTTATAAAAACGTATATCAAATCTCAGCAGATCTATTTACTCCAAATGTAGCCAACTGTAAAAGACAGAGCATGTCTTTTTTGCTGCAGAGGAACCATGAGTGTCACCTTCTGTGACCCACTGAGGCACTTTGTCAGGCAGAGCTCCCAGAAAACACCGAGGGGACTTGTGTTGCCTCAGAATTCACTGGGGCGAATTGCTGAGTTGTGTCTCCATTGGCCTGTGCAGAATGATCTGGCATGCAGCCCCTCAGTGGCTGGCACATACAAATCAAATGTGTCTGGAAGAAAAGAAAAAAAAAAAAACGTCCTTTGTGTTTGGTTAATCCCAAATGTCCCATTGGTCTGAAATGATTTCAGGCTGTGGTTCTTGGCTTGAGAATTTGACAGGGAGGATTTCCAGCTCCCTCGCCATCTCTCTTTGGAATGAAGATGCCACCAGCTTTGGAAACACTACATGATCCATCAAATCCATCCACACAACCTACTAACGAGACAATGTGAGTTACAGAAACCTCATAGATATTAAAGTCCAAAACAGACTAACCTTTTCTTTCCGTTCACCTTAAAATGATTATACAGTATATGCTACCTTTTTAACTTCCACATTCTCCCACAGTTAGTGCACTTTTATCCTTGTTTAATTAAGGCAAGTTAAGGGACACCCCCCGCTGCTATGTGGGCTGAGAGCTGCCACTACTGCTGACCCCTCTGTATCAGGAGGACAAAGATTGCACTGGGGTGGTAGGTTGCTTTTAATTAGCTGGGTAGAAATGTAATATTTTTTTCTAAAAAGAATCTCATTTTCAAAGTCAAGGTTGAAACCCTTTTGTCCTGGTATACCCGGGGATGTTTGAAACCTACAATATTAACTGAAGTGAAGCAGTCGTAGTCACCAACTGCTGTAGTTTGGAAAAGATCCAAGGCCAGCAGACAGTATGTTTGCTGTCATTAGAAAATACCTTTGCTATGTGGTTAACCTGTTTCATGCCTGACATGAGGTTGTTACTGTGGACCCAATATATTCTGGTTCCATAGCCTAGGAAGACTCACTCAGAGGTGCAGGACTTGTAAGACAATGTTTCACTGTCCCTCTAGTCTCCTCAGAATCTCTACACACATCATAATGTAAATGATTTACTGTATTTCTGCATATGTGTTATGTAAGACAACAAGTTCATATTAAATTACAGAATGCATTGATTCAAATGGTCCTTCAGCATGACACTGATCTGATGCCTCTATCGGCAGGACAGCGCCAGTTTTCAGTGCCAAATTTAAGTATATGTCCTCAGGGGATTCCTGAGATATGAGGTGAATCCCAATTCCTTTATTTTATTGGTCCTCAATCCTCACTCAGCCCAGAAGTCCTTCCAGTCCGCCATGATGAAAGACCAGAGCTCTTCTGCTTGGAGGAGTGAGGAGGCTGCCTGGACGAGCTGTAACTGAGGATACACAAGTGCATCCTTTACTGAAGTCTTTTATGGATTGGCATGCCCCTTTATTGGAAATCAATTTGTGATTGAAGGCTTCACATTAGGGATCAGAGGAAAGAACATCTCATGTCAGTTAAAACGTGTTTCCTCCCTTCTTCTATCCTCGTAGTTTCTCCTTGCATCTTTTCCTTGTATCTTACATGGGCGGGACTAAGATGCAAGGAAAAGACACAAGTGAGGGGAACATGGAAGCAATTAGGGAAATTAGGATTCACCTATTGTGGTCACAGTGACCTTGACCTTGAACTTTTGAGCCAAGTTTGAAGAAAGTCCCTCAAGAACTTCACACAGGCAACTCAAAAACATAATGCCTATGGCGACAGCTGTCACCTACACGGAGGCATAAAAGGAATACAGTATCTAGCCTTGGGGTTAAATTACCATAAAAGAAGAACACACTCAAATCTACATAATTGTAATGGTGATGTGAAAATGCAACTGTTTGATCAGCATCAGTTGACTCTCATCAGAGTGCCGTGCTGTGTTTGTGTTGTGTGAGTTCTCTGCAGTTCTGAGTAGAAATGAATACAATGTATTTTTATTTCTAAGGTAGCTCATTATTTAAAGATTCAGCTTTACAGGTGTGTGTGTGTGTGTGGTTGTTTATCACAGGTCTGACACTTAGAGACAGACTGGCGACTGGTGGACCCCGCCTCTTGCCCAGTGTCCGCTGGGACTGGCTCCAGCCCCCCCGCGACCATCCTCAGGATGAGCGGTATAGATAATGGATGGATGGATGGCTTTAGAGGTGCCTCAAATTTAAATTGATTTAACTGATTAATTATTGGGATGTGTGGCTGATTACAATGTGCCTGGCAGCCGTAGTTCCACTGAACCCCACAGTAACACTTCTGAACACGAGAGCTGCAGACTGATGTGTGAAAACTGAGAGAACACTCAGCGGACTCATGCAGGAAATGAGATGACAGGATGCACTGAATCAAATGTTTGGCTGCTTTTTGATTAGCTCCTTTTTTCCATGAATCTAATTGTAGAAGAGCGATGGATGGGTTTAGGGGTTCATGAGCACCAGACCGTGGATGGTATTTGATTTTTGGCTCTGTGTTCTTCCATTTTCATTCTGTAATCAGTGATCTACAATAATGTTGTGCTCTGTATCTGTACTGGGGACAGAAAGGGCTTTTCAAAGATGGAAGCACATTAATGTGCAACATAGCTTGGAGCTAAGGTCTCTACTGAAATGTCCAACGGCAGGAAATTGGCTGCACCTTTTTATGGTCTCAGCTATGTAGATCAGGTTTTAAACCAAAAGCAGAACACTTAGAGCATTCTCAAAAAATACTATAAAGCAGCCACTGCATTTAATTGAAACATGTCTTCCACAAGCCAAGATAATGTAGATCATACCTGCACAAAAGACGACACTGCAGTATGAAGGAGAGTTTTAACACAAGTGCAACCTCAGTGACGTTGTTGACTCCACAGATAAACATGTTAGTCTTACAGTATCTTAGCACCATTGAAGGGCTAATGAAGCAGAACAAGTGTAAGACATTCATTTTTGCTATAATCAGGCTTATACAAAATAGAACAATCATAATTTCTTCTCTTCGCCTCGTTTGGCCCTTTTATTTTGTCCTCTTTTATCAGCAGCACAGAAATCCTGGAATTTATCTCCCCATGAACTCACACCAGCTCTGCTCTAGTATGCAAATTCATAACAAAGAGCTGTGCTTAATCTAAATTGCCCATTTATTATGAGATTTCTAACATGATATGTGACAAATTGTTCAAATCCTGAAACAGAGCCCCAGATGGAAAGAAAAATTCCAGTTTCACTTTCTGTCTCTGCCCCACTTATTGGAGGAAAAAAGGTGTTTTGTTCAATGGCCCTGAAAATCCCTTGCAGATTGAGGGAACACAGCACATGGACAAAACATAAATTGCCAGGAATACAACAAGTACGTCCCTATTTTCATACATTTTCTTAAATTGCCTTGCATTTAGATGCAGTTTTGATCAAGCATCACTAGTCCTTATGCTCTGTGGCGTCATGTTAATGTCAGCTGCAGCATCAGGGACCTGGAACGACATAATCACCTACAGACGAGCAGCAAATTAAAGGAAAGCCCAACATGTTCTGGTGGACCACCACGTGCCACCAGAACAGCTCCAGTGCACCTGTTTGATGTTTTGATGATGGTGGTGGAGACGCTGTCCAACATCTCCCATAGGTGTTCAACTGGGCTGAGATCTGGTGACTGTGAAGGCCACATCATATGATTCACATCATGTTCATAATTATCATTCATAATTATCAAACCATTCAGTGACCTCTCGTGCTCTGTGGAAGGGGGGGCATCCTGAAAGAGACCACTCCTATTAGAACAGGGAGGATAAGTGGATAGTCACAGCAAAAGTTTAGGATCACTCTCCTGACTGTATTCCCTCTCAAGATCCTGGAAACTTTGAACATTTTCTCTGTAACATTAAATGGTCAACAGGCAACAGTCCAAGTTTTGAGAAAGTCTAAAATGCTTAGGTGTTGTTCAGTCTATTAAAAGATAAATCTGTCATGTGAAATAACAAACACTGTTTTATCTTTGGCAGATAATTGTGTTTTCGTAGCATCCCATCACTCACAGAAGAAACTCGGTTCGCCCAATTCATAGCAAAACATTTTTTATCCCAAAGTTTTGGTTTTATTTTCTCAGATTGAGATCTCGGCTCTGAGATCACTCATGGTGCTCCTGGTATTAAAAAATATTATTAAAAAAAGTCAACGGCTGATAAATTGCCATAGGAGCTGTCACGTGTCAGTGTTATTTTTGGATGAAGACTAGTTTTAAAATAAAATAAAAAACTGTGGGTGCAGAGTCAGAAAGACATGGGATTAGCAGACTTCTGTAGCCTGCACCACATCTTTGCTTGAGGCTATTGGCTGAAAGCTACATTTGCCACTGCACGCATAACACACTGGAATCTCAGACAGAGCTATCAGTGGCTGAGTTGCATTGTGGGTAATCGAGGCACCTGGTTGTGATAAGGAAGAAGAATGCAAAGAATAAAGAAGACAGTGGTTGATCCCAGTTCTTTTAATTGCATTGATGTTTCCCTCACTGGCATCTTTTCTTTGCATCTTAGTCCTGTCCATGTGAGTTTCAAGGAGAAATTGCGAGGAGAGAGCAACCAAAGAAACATGTTTAAACTGACATGAGGCGTCATTATGTGAATCATCCAGTCCCATACTGATTTCCAATAAAGGGGTGTGTCAATCATAACAGACTTCAGCGAAGGATTCACACATGCATCCTCAGTTATAGCTCGTCCAGGCAGCCGCCTCACTCCTCAGAGCAGAATTAAGAGCTCTGGGACATTTTTCATCATGGCGGACTGGAAGGACTTCTGGGCTGAGTGAGGATCGAAGACCAATAAAATAGGTGAACTGGGATTCACCTCATATCTCAGGAATGTCTGCACCGGAACAACTTCCAGGTTGAGCGACGATCGAGGACTGGAGAACGATAAAATAAGGGAATTGGGATTCACCCTCCATCTTTCATTCTGCTGCGCAGTCTGATACTTTTTACAAGCTGTCAGTCGTGAGTCAGACAATGTTACAGAAGTACAGTGCTACATCTGTGGAGGACTCATTTGACAAGAATGCCTTTGACAACTAACTTGATAGTTTCCTCAGAAAGGGGGAGTTACATCAGCCCACATTAACAATGCCTTGTTGATGAACCTCCTTGCATCATGCTTGAGAACCCACATCCACTTGATCTGCTGGCTCCTTTGGTTTTCTTCTTTGATTCCCAGCAAGAAATACACAAATTATCTGATAGAGAGCAGAAAAGTAGACCTAATCATCATAGTGCTTTATATGATGTGGGTCTGAGGACATGTATTAATGCACAACACTGGTGATGTACATGTAAGCTCACAAATGTGTAAATATAAAGTGAAGGGAAAAGCAGGGGAAATAAATATTCTTCCACCTTCTGCACACATCGAAGCATCATCCATCTTCTTTGTTATCACACCCTGGCTCCTTCCTTCTACTTCTCCGTCTCCATCTCCTCCCCTCTGAATTACACATTCAGTAATTAATCAGATCATACATTATACCTCAGAATCATGAATTATAAATTTCCTTATTTCCAGCTGCATAACATGCTTATTGTCACACACTAAACACACTGGGAAATTGACTGTTCTGTGGGCATGGTGAGTTCCTACTTTACCACTCACTATGCCTGCATCAG